AGTTGTGGGGGGGGGCACGAAATGTTTACTTCTTCCTAGGGGGGGGCGTAACAGAAAATAATTGAGAATCACTGTCTTAAATCATGTTAGTAGTTGTTAAAATTCATTATTATTATATATATATATATAGCCATCTATACATGCTGTACTACTAATGGCGTCAATGGTAACAGTTCTAAAAAGCATTCACTGTAGTTATTTCAGTTCAGCACCGCTCCAGAGACCTGTGAAGGATTAATATTGTTCAAGATATACAAATCACTGGCTCTTCTCCGCTCGAGAATGAATGGGTTTACCTCCTGGGTTTGGGCATGGGCTGCCCCCTGTAGAGGGCGGGTACATGTCTTGGACCTGGGGGGTATAGAGTGCGTATCGGGAATAAGAATGAAATGTATCGTTATTGTATGTCTTTGAGTGAGTGAATGTGAGACTGAGGTTGGGATTGTGTGATTGTGTCTGTGTATGAATAGGTATTTGTTAGGCCGAGACTCGGACTGCCCCCTCTTTGATACAACTGGGGGTGCTTGGCATCGCGCCCCTATCGCGCGGTCCCCTGGTGGGGTGTGCCCTTGCCTGCCGGTGCGCTTGGTGTCGGGGGCTGGGTGCTTGGGCGTGTGTCGGCTCGGCCTGGTGTCTGCCTGGTGGGGCTCGGGTCCTCTGGCCCTGTCGGGCCTTGGCCTAGGTGGTGTGAGTCCTCGGTGCCCGGGCCTCGGTGCCCGGACCTGGACCTACATCGGTGTGGCGGGTTCCGACGGAGGCCTATGAGTTTGTCGCTGTTGGCCCCGGGGGGTCACTGTATGTGGTCGCTGGTGGGGATCTTCCGGTTCTCCCCTGTGGTCCGTTCTGGGGGGTGGGTGAGTGGTTCGTCCTGTGTGGGTGGCTCTGGGGGCTCCACGGTCGGGGTCCCTCCTGGAGTCTTGGGCTCTGGTCCCCCCTTTTTCGTCTGCCTCTGGTCTTGGGGGTCAGGTCTCTGCTGCTTCACAGTTACTATTAAATATTCTATTAGAGAAACCTTATTCACTTATGCATGCTCACAACCACACACAAATAGAAGCAGGGATGCTTATGTAGGCTTTATATGTAGATATATAGATATGTATATTCATGTATATTCATGTGTATGTATGTATGTATATAGGCGTAGGTATGGGTATATATATTTATGGAAACTTACTGCAAAGCCATGAATATTTTAAGTTCTTTATACGTATGTATTTTGTTGCTGTTTTGTCATGTTCTTTGCAGGTGAACAGACAGTGGCCGGGTGTTTTGCCGTGTGCTCTCTTTGTGTATATTTCTTATATTTTGGAGTCTTACTTTGTCTTTTCTTTCTTTCTATCCTATTAAAAAAAATTAAAAAAATAAATAAAAAAAACTACACTAGATAGTCACTAGAATAAATATTTCATAATAATGGTGTGGAGAGGATGGCTGTAAGGGGAGAAGGGAGGCCATCTAAAAAAAGAAAAAAAAAAAAAAGATGGCATTGTCCAACGTGTAGTGACCTGTCACTGGGAAATATTCCTCGGCGCTTACCTTGAAATAAGACTGCTCGTCATCTTCTCCTCGGGGAGGAGAACTCACCGGACGACCGGAGGTCGACTGCCGGGCCAAGCATCCTTAACAAAGGTTGGTCATCTACACAATTTTCCTTCTTTGTTCTTCTGACAGTGCTATTTTAGCTCGCTGAAGAAAAAATGGGAGCCGATTTCCCGCTCTTAACGTAATTTATACGGACCGGGTGGGGCCCACACAGCAGGTGGGCGTGGACTAAATTTTTTCAGTGCTTATGCTGCGCATAACGGGATAAACCCACTAAAGCGAAGGCCTTAAAGGGCGAAGCTTATACGAAATAGAACTGTTGTTTCCAAATTTCATGGCGTCAACAAATCCCAAAAAAGTTTGGACAAGTCCATTTTTACCACTATGTGGCATCCCCCTGTGGAATTGTGGAAATGAAAACATTGATACCAGTTTATTTTGTTCATCAATTTTATTTTATTTCAGTTTCAATTTTATTATCATCACTCTTATTATTCATTTACTTTATATCACATTCTGTTAAAGCTTATCTAAACTGCAGCAGTTGCATCAGTGTGTGAAACCTTTTTCTTCTGCGTCTCACAAGCCTGTCGGTACTGTAGTATGTACATATACTGATATATATTCATACTGTTAAAATGGATTCTTTCATTTTTCTGGACTGTATAATGACGTGCATCTGAATTTAATCGAATGTGGACGGAAACGTTAATTATCTTTGACTCACCAAGACAGTGGGTCATTTATTAACATAATCAAGTTTAACACATCACACATTTACATTAATTGGCAAGAATTGAAAATAACGACAGCTTATTAATCAGTTTACAGGAAGTGAACGATGCGGCGATTGTTCTCACTTCCAATAATACAGCAGACGTCAACCACACAGCGGTGATTGAAAAACTTTGCTTCAGACATTTCTAAAAATATCTGTAATGATTTTTAGCAGATAGAAGAATTTTAAAGATGGAAAGATGAAGTTTATCTACAGAGAGATGTGTGAGGGAATTTGTCTGTTTTAACCAGAACCTGCACGCTCCTTTGGACCAACTTATCCCAACGGTACACTTTGGTGAAGATCGACTTTTACCTTTCTGAAGATATCTCAGTTCCGGCGTAAAGTTCCACTTCGAGCCACTTTTCAGCGTCTCCGTAAGAACAGCTAAAACCTCGGGAGTCGTGAGGTCATCCAGGACAGACTTTAATAATTCCCAGATCTTCTCTGGTTCAGCTTGATTTTCTTTCTCCCATCAGCATCCTGAATTCCAGCCTTCATGAACTCTGGAACTGCTGAAGCTGCAAACTCTCCACCCGACTCCAACTGGGGGTGGAACCTCTTGCAGAACTCTCCATCTGACTCCAACTCGACTAAACTCGGAGCTAGATTGAACTAGGAAGTGCCAACATTTAAAGAAGCTCACTTCCGGTTCATTTGAGAACTTTCTGATTGGTCGATTGACCAAAACAGAGGTGTGTTTTGTGATGTAAGGTGTTATGAAAAGTCAAGGAAAAGATTAAGATTGTTTAAGGACAGACAAAAGATATCATGAGAAACTTCAGACTTCGTGGAGTCAATTCTCTAGTATCTTGCTGTAAAAGTTAAACATGACATTTCTTTTCAGTAAACTTGCAGTTGACCGAAACTTGAACTTTGACCAACTTCCATCACTTGCTCACTTCAAACAGACGATCAAGAAATTGAATCATTACTCTGTAACGTATGCCAACTTGATTTCACTTTGAATGAGGATTAAGAATCATTATTACTGTTTCACAATTAATAAAAAATGAGTAGTTCACTTCAACATGTAAACATTGTTTGAACTAACACAATTTGATTATCAAACATTTGTAAAATAGTAATGATAATAGAGAATAGTCTTCTTTGACTTGATTAACTCAAGAAAGAAAGTCTCAGGATGGGTCAACCTGTATTTCTGGATGCAAATCAATGAAATGACAAGTTCTGTCCCATATGGTCCTTAGGTCAAGGTTTTGACCTTCAGGCCTAGTTCACTACAGTACAGAACCCAGCTCCAGAACCGGTCACACGGACCACAAACGTATTGTCTGTTTTTACCCTGATAAGATTGACACTCTGTTTCACCCTGACAGTTTTTGTACTGTTGAGCTCTCTGAATTGTCAAAAAAATAACCTCATCCAAACCATCCACATGCCTGCTAGATCCCATCCCAACCAGACTGTTTAAAGAGGTATTCCCCCTAATAGGCTCTGTGCACATGCGTCCTGAATCACTTCCCCTTTGACCGGATGTCGGCATTCCAGTTTCCGGTCTAATCCCCGGTCTCGGTGAAAATGGCGTTTTCTAGATGTTTACAAGAGCTGCCCAAGATAAATATCAGCGATGTTCATCGTATTGTTGATGCCTGGTCCCCTGCTCCAACAAGCAAACGTAACAAGGGATTTAAATTGTATATCTCAAGTTACCTGCACAACTACGAGGGTAAGTAACGTTAGTTTGATCGTTGTGATGTTGCTAACTGTTTGCAGCTAACGTTAGGCTATTAGCAACACGACCATTTTTGTGTATACTCACGTTATAGAAACAGGTTTTCCACACTTAAACAAAAGGCTCATATTTTGTGATCATTCTACTAACATTCTGCTCTTCTCAGTTTCTAGCAAAAATCAGGACACAGGTGAAGTCGTTGTCAGGGCTCTGTGTCACAGGTCCATGAAGAAAAATGAAAAACCTCACAGTTTAAGTGTAGGGTGAAGATAGGATTGTTCAGATGACAGTTTTAAGATTGTTGGTTCAGTAACCCGACGTTCCTAATGTTAATGGGGATTTAGCTAAGGTGGTAATTAATTCTTAAATAAAAATAAAATGGAATTGGCTATTTGATGAATATTAACACGTGAGTTTGGCCTTGCTTGTCCCCATTTGGTTATTTGCTGCATGCATTGTTCTTCGTTTATGGTTGTTATGTGTTACTTTTAACCCAGTGTTAATTTGGTAATTCATGCATATTAGTTTTACTTAAATCTAAAGAATACACTCACAGTCTCTGTAACATTATCCAGGTATTTTTACCTAGCGGGTCTCCTCTGGGTTAAAAGTGTTTTGAAATCAAGTTATCTTTATCTCATCCATTCATTTAAGATGTAATCTTGTGATAATTGTATTACACTACTCTTGACCTTCATAGAACATACTCCAAACTAAATATAAAATCACATAACATGATACTATGGTTCTATGACATTAGTTATAAAAAAAATATTTGGGAAGCAAGATTGCATCATGAAAGAATGGCTGATGAGTGACCAAGCTAAGATAATAAGTTCTTACTATGACATTCTTATGCAGGTGGTCCTGAAAGACTCGTGTCCTGTGGAGCTGATTCACCACAGCTGTACGTGTGTTGCTGGTGCAGCATTATGCAACCACTGTGTGGCTTTGCTGTTCCAGTCAGCACATTATTCTGAGCTGTCAGTGGTCCCCCCTGTACTAAGCTGTACAGAAGGAGAACAGCAGTGGCACAAGCCCAGAACTTTAGTAAGTTTTCTCTTCAATAATAGACTCAATTTATTACATTTTCTTGCCGTATAACTTGTAACTGTGTCATGGATAACTGAATAGGGTATAAAACCTGGCCCCGTGGACAAGATGACTGTGCTGTCTGCTAAACCGAAGAGTGGAGCAACAACAGAGGGTGTAAGGTAAAAAAAAATCAATAAAAATTCTGATGTATTACAACAGTGTTTCTCAACCCTGGTCCTCAAGGCACACTGCTCTGCATGCTTTATAGATTTCCCTGCATTAACACAGCTGATACAGTTGTTAATCAGTTACCAACTGAAATGAGCTGTGTTTAAGCAGGGACAAATCTCAAACATGCAGGACAGTGTGCCTTGAGGACCAGGCTTGAAAAACACTATTATTTTATGTTTCATATCTGAACGAAATGCAGGTGGGTATTCTATTTTTGACTCATGTTCTTTTCTTATTTATATACACAGGAGCACACTCTACAAAGGCCTTAGTGGGGATTTGCAGGACCTTTCTGTCCTTAGAGTAAGTAGTTGTATTTAAATTACTGATAAATAAAAATGAAATTAACAGTAGGCTACAATGTACTAACAAAGAGTTGTTGACTTACCGGTGTATTGAATAATTTTATTTTCAAGTGCTGTCTCTTTGTAAAGTGTAGAATTTTTGAGGGCTTAAAATTAGTTGATATACATGTATTTTACATTTTATTGAAATAATTGTTTTCACTTTCCCAGGTTTCCGAGGTGTATGAAGATTTTGCAGCAGCTGATGCACCAATGATCTGCAGCATGGGAATCAGCCATGAATTTCCCCTTGTTGACTCTGCCCTTGGCAAAGTTCAGGCTGGAAGTCCTCTGTCCTACCAACAGCCAGCAACAGCAAAGAGAGACATGTCCTTCCATGCTGCACCACCCCGCCCATCTCTGCCTCTTAAGAACTACCACCTACAGCCATCAAAAAGCATGTTTGTTTGTTCTGAACCACAACAGCTACACCTTAAAAGTATGGAGGTCACCTGGGACATGGTGAATAAATTTGAATGTGCTACCAGAGCACAGAGTACATGTCCTGAATGGCATCAGCTAAGGAGGCATAGGTTGACTGCCTCCCGCTTCAGGGAGATCTGCCAGGTTCGAGATAAATCTGAGGAAGATCTGGCAAATCGTCTGCTGCAAGGGACCTATCAGACTGCAGCTATGAAGAGAGGGCTTGAATTAGAGGCAGATGCTATCTGGGAATATTGTCAAATTAAAAGAGTCAACCACTATCCCTGTGGATTTGTGATTCACCCTGATGCTCCTTGGCTAGGGGCATCTCCAGACGGATTGATCTTTGATCCTTCTGAGCCATGTCAGTTCGGGCTGATTGAGATTAAGTGTCCAAATGTGAAAAGTTATGTTGACTGTCCATATCTCCAAATGAAGTCAGGCAAATTGGAACTAAAAAAAACTCATGCTTACTATTGGCAGGTTCAGGGGCAGATGCTAATAACTGGGATGAACTGGTGTGATTTTGTTGTCTCAGCTGAGGAAGATATTCTTATTCAAAGAATTTATGCAGACACTAATGTGATGGATTCAATCAAACACAAAGTAGACAGATATTTTTTCTATGTTTACCTGCAGAAATGTCTAAATTAGGAGTTTGATCAAATCAAATGTACAAATTTGTTTCAAAATATTTCCATCATGAATATCTATTTACAAATGTAAGACAATGTCAATGTAAGTAAATGACAGCATTTTCTGTTTCTTCAAGACTGTGCCATCAGCTTTTCTGTCAAACTTCATATCTCCATTTCCTGACCAAAGGTCCATTTTGGTAATTTGACAGGAGACAGGCAACTGTAAAAATTTGGTTTATGCTTCCTGCAATGGAGAGAGGGATAGTGGAATCAAAGAGTTTATTTTCTTTAACTCTTCTTATTAACCTCTCAACATGCACCCTCAAACGGGCAATGGACTGGGTCTTCAAAACGTCGACCTCTGACATTTGGGCCCTCTTGGAGAGGAAGGCAGGACGATGAACAGTCCCAGGTACGAGATCATCCACCAAGAATCCCTTGTCCACCATGATGGCCATGTCCAGTGTCAAGAGTGATGTAATCCCTGATTGACGGAACACTTCCTTGTCACTCATGGAACCCTCAAACAGTGCTGACACAAATGTCAGGGCTCCGTGAGGAGACATGCCCACCATGGCCTTAAAGGTACAGTGGGATTTGTAGGTGGAGAAGACTTCACTCTGGAGGAGCAGGGATGAAGGTGTTTGACACCGTAGTTCTGTACAGTCCAGGATAACTTGTGTGTCACTGTAGCGGCCATCAAAATCCTGTGGAAGACTGGAACTCACAGCTGCAGGAGACATCCACACACAAATTGAGCCCAATAAGCAGTACAGGAAGTTGGCCCATGTCACAATAATGCGGCTGACTGTTGCTCTGTGGATGTTAAATCGATGGCCCAGTTCCCTCTGGGTACATCCAGTAGACAGGTAGGAGAGGAAAAGAAAAAGCTCATCTATTGGCAGCAGTTTCTGGACAGAAAATTATTTAAATGTTAGTTCAAAACCAGCATTCTTATTGTGTGTGTGTGTGTGTGTGTGTGTGTGTGTGTGTGTGTG